AAAAGTTAGAAAAACGCCGTTTGGCAAAAATGCCAAAGAGTTAAGGGGAACTAGAACCACCATATTTCGGATCAGATGTTCAAAATGCATTCCATTCTGTTCTAAGCAATAATATAATCGATGTTCGAATGCCATTCTAACATTTTGGAACACATCTCTTGGAATATATCGGCATTCTGCATTTTATTTTATTCGACTTCATGTTTTCCGTTCACCCTGTAGTGGGTGGAAAATGAGTATTGTACAGGTAAATACTACTGACTGAGACCGTTCATTTGAGGTATCACAAAAGAGGTAGTGCCATTTGACATTTCAAAGATGGAGTGTGTCGCGCCGACGGGGTGACTCATCCCTTTACTGAAGTATGGTGGTTCTAGTTCCCCCTAACTCTGTAGCATTTGTGCCAAACGGCGTTTTCCTAACTGTTTTATTTAGCGAGATATTCGCATTGGAAGTTTTCAAATTTAGACCCTCGAAATAATGTTTTTCGTACACCCTGTAGTGGGTGGAAAAAATTTTTTGTACAGGGGAATACTACTGACTGAGACCGTTCATTTGAGGTATCACAAAAGAGGTTGCCATTTGACATTTCAAAGTTGGGGTGTGTTGCGCTGACAGGGTGACTCATCCCTTCACTGAAATATGGTGGTTCTAGTTCCCCTTAACTCTTTAGCATTTTTGCCAAGCGGCGTTTTTCTAACTTTTTTATTTCGCTAGATATTCGCATTGAAAGTTTTCAAATTTACACCCTGTATAGTTCAATTGACATCGACATTATTTTGGATCGACATAATTTTTTTAGAGATAATCATTTATTGTGTTGATGGAATTGTAATATTATACTGTTGATTCAATCAAACTAAATTCCTGATTTGAAGAATTTCAGAACAACAACAACAATCTGTTTGATTCAACACAAAATTGTTCAGTCCAACAAAAATTACTCGAGCATGAATGATTTGTTGATGCAACAAATCATTTTTCAGGCGTAGAAGTTCACTCAAAAAACTCATGAATCTTCAAAAAAGACGTGTGGCGCTGCAATAATAACATAAGGTTCAGAGTCGACACCTCAAAAGACCTCCCAATACCAATTTTCTTATGATTATGGTGATTATTTCGAGAGCTTTTTGAAAAAACTGATATATGAAAAAATAACTTTAACACTCTGTATCTTGGAAAAGGAGCGTTTCCGAGCTTTTAGTCATTTGGACAATTCATATTAGAATAATATGAGGAATCACTTCCTGGAGTTTTTAAAAGTTATTTTGAATCACCCTGTATAGTGAATACAATGATGGATGAAAATGGTTTTTTATAAATGAAATTGATTTGAAAAAAGTCATGAGGTGAAGTGTAAAACTTATGAAATAAAATTACGGAAACGTTGAAGTGACATGCTGGGATTTTTGTTCCTTCCGGAGGTTCCTTCAGTCAGATAAACTCGCTATTTCAACTTTTACCTCAAAAAATATTCTTTCATCTAAAAATTTCGTGCTTCATCTCCGAATTCGGCTGTTTGTCACAAGATTTCGACTTCGATCTGATAATTTCTACTCTATCTCGAAATGTCGACTCAAAATTTCGACTTTCAACTGAAAATTTCGACATTGATCTCGGAATTTCACCTCAAAAATTTCGAATTCAATGTGAAAACTTGAATTTGTTCCTCAAAATTACGAAATATCAATTTGATCTAACAAATATTCAACCTGAATTTTTATTTTCTGATCGAATTTTTTTTCTGAATACATCAGTGATCTATGACAAGTTGAAAAAATTACTTGGAATGGAAAACTACCCCATCTGTACACTGAGCATATCTCTTTCTCATATTGTTGAGCCATTGTCGATCTAACTGGAAAATCTTATTTTATATTCTGGTTCCCACGAAACCGGATATCCTGTAATGTTCAGAGAACATCGTGAGAACCAAGGGAAATTAGGTAGGAATTGGTTTTCTTCTCGAATTTCTGGAGGCTATATGCCTCGGAGAACACCTCCCTTGGCAATGTGTTCCAGACTCTCGCTGTTCGATGGATGGATGAGGTCTCCGAAGTGACCACGAAGGGGTGCGAAGCCTCAACTCGACGGGTTAATCTCCCGGGGACTGCCAATGCCAAGGGAGGAACAATTGTTGATATTTCAGAAGAGCATCGTCCATGAAAATATCTATAAAATAGAGCCAGATCGCCAACTTTTCTACGGTGTTCCAGAGAAGTGAGTGAGTTTGTGAGCGAGGCATCACCCACGAGACAAATTAATAGCCCTTTTTTGGACAGAATCCAACAGTTTCAGGGTATGTTTGGGTGCTGCACTCCAAATATGGGAACAGTATTCCAGGACAGGTCGAATCTGTGCCTTATAGATCAAAAGCAGCTGACTGGAAGTGAAAAAGCTCCTGGCCCGAAACAGAAAGCCAAGTTAGTAGGGACGAGCTATTGAACGAACAATCGTTAGATCTCAACGATCTCATCCACCGAATAGTCCGAATGATAAAAAACAAAATTGCCACGTGCTTTCACCTCAACTAAAGGTCTAGCAAATTGGTGTTGACGAGTTGTTTTTCTTTTCATTCGTTGAAAAACGTGGTATAACCGCCGATATCTGGAAAAAAACAACTTTCGTCTGCATTCCAGGAATTGCTCCCAGCAGGACATCAATCAGAGAGCACACTGAAACATGTGATTTATCGTACGAATGCGAAAACTTCTTTGAAAACATTTCCAGCGAAACCTGAAACCACTGGCGCTATGAAACATTGCATATGGGACAAAATAAAAATGGAAAACCAGTGGGGTTGTAACAAAAGGACGATTTAATAGTTCGATAAATTCAAAGATAAAAATAAATCGATTGATCCTTGCATCAATTGAACTGAAAAAGGGTTTCGAGAGGTTCTCATTTAAAAAAAAAACAAGTAAATTTGTTGCAATGGCAGAGTATAGGTACAATGCTTCTGATATAATTAGTTCAGTCCAGTGGTGTCCTTCGAAGCAACTAGACTGATAATATGCCACGACAATATTTTTCTGCCATCATCAGTATTCCTTTCTTGAAAATCAATTGAACCACTTCGAGAAATATCGATTGTTTCTATAATTTTTCTCAGATTTAGCAATACGAAAAACATTATTTATGTTTCTGCTAGCATTGCTGGTTTCGTTAAAAAAAAACTGTTGCTTCCCACGATCTCGAAACAAGGACATAAAAACAACTAATGAATTGGTGAAAATGAATATTCTCAGAAATGATTATGAACATAAAAAAATGGATACATATATGGAGAAATACTTTGAGAATTCGCATTGTCTATGTGTTAAAAATATCAATTCTTTCTCGGTTTATTCAACAGAAAACAACTTCTTTCCTGGCTATATTTGCCACGACGAACATTGAATTATATCTGTTGAACATCCAAAAAGAGAGCATGAAAAATGGAAAGCCACTGAAATTAAGAATTGACATTATCTCTCAAATCCGACAAAATAATATGATGTATTATGATATTAAAATATGACTAACCAACATGATTAGTATTGAAATGAAAATTGAAATGCATAGGAGAAGTATACTTGTATAAACTCTGATCTTGATAAGCTCCTTACATGAATCACCCTGTTTAACATACTGATTACCTTCGATATCGTGAAGATGTGACTTTTATGAATGTACAAAGTTTTTTCCACTGATGTCGAAAATTTACTAATCCTAAGCGGAATAAAATAGGTCGAGCCAGGATGAAAATCTTCATATTTATCAATTATCCCAGATAGCACGATGTCATTCGTAGAACGTTCATAGAATATTCTTCGAGAAAATTTGAACATTCTCAGAATATTCTCACAATATGATAAAAATATTCTAGGGACGTTCTATGAACATTCGGAATGGATGAATCAGTGGGATAATCAGCATTGAGGCTAGATAATAATAGGTTGTGTCAGGGCGAACATTATGAATATTGATACAAGAATAGAAACATCGAGTTCATATATTTCGATATGATTCTAAATATTCTCAGACAATTCAAAAAGAATTTACTAAGAATATATCGAATTGAATGTTCATAGAATATTCGTTGCAGAATGAGAATATTATATGATCATTCTGAAACATTCTATCAGAATATTCTAAAATAAGTATATTTGAACGTTGTCAGAATATTCATAGAATATTCTGTGCTGTCTGGGATCATCCCAGACAGCACCAGATATTCCATGAATCTCCCTATCATATTCCTTTCGAAATATTGGAATATTCTATGGATAATCTGGAATATTCCGGAATATCTGTGGAATATTCTCTAAATATGCGAATGGGAATTCCTCAGATATTCATAGAATATATCCAGAAGAATATTCCATGTTGCATATCCCTGGAATATTCCAATAAACATATTCTAAAATAAAAAAAGTGACCCTAGTAGGGATCGAACTCGTGACCTCAAGACTATCAGACCAACGCCTTGACCACTGGGCCAGTAATCGAATTGAATGATGTTGTACATATCAATTTCTTGTGAGAGCGTTGTTCGAAATCGGATCATAAACACTTTTTGTTTCAAAATCTCCTTACATCTGATTTTGATGTTCGATACTCACAACTCTGAAATAATGATGGGTATTTATGTGTTGAGAAACATAGGAATATTCATGGAATATTCCATGAATATACACCACAGAATATTCAGTTGAGAATATTTCATGAATATACCGCACAGAATATTCAGTTGAGAATATTTCATGAATATACCCCAGAGAACATTCAGTTGGGAATATTTCATGAATATACAAGAGAGAATATTCATTTGGGAATATTCCTGGAAAATTCATACCTGAATATTCCCCGAACATCACTTTGGAATATTCCTTCTAGATGTACCAGAGGCATGTATATATTCTAGGAATAATCGATGAATATTCGGAATATACTCCTCCTTTTTAGCATATTTGGAGAATATTCTAGGAATATCCAGTGCTGTCTGGGATCATACTCACCCTGGAACACGTGTAACGCCCTCTGCCTCAACTTGAAACTTTCGATGTGCCTGGTATTAAGCGTCAGAGAAGTTTCATCGAGCATATCGGAAGTTGTTCGGAGTTCCGCTACCACTTCTTCCTTCGAATAGGGTCGCTCGCGAAGGGCTTCCTTCACTAGGATGATCATGGCGTCAAGGTCTAGCGAAAGAGCTTGCTGCAGTTGCCCTAAGGTCTTGATTTCGGACCATGGCAATACAAGTTTTTGAGCCATAATCTGCAATATGGATTTTGGTGAAAGCTTTTTTTTTTATCGCTTGAGGCGCACGAAAGAAAATCCCTATAATGTTCAAAGAACATCGTGCGTTCCTAGGGAGGATAGGGACAGGAAGTAGGTATTGGAATGTTTTTTTAACTTCTGGAGTTTATATGTTGTTGGGAATACTCCCTCAGGCAATGAATTCCAGAGCCTAGCCGTTCTATGGATGAAGGAGTTTTGATAAAGTGCTGTTCTTCGACATCCAGACAGATTTCCGAAGAAAATTTCCCGTGGAAGTATCGATAGAAAAGTGAAAGGTCGCCGACCTTTCTACGGTGTTCCAATGATGTCAAAGAGTGAGTGCATGAGTGTGGCGTCACCCACCAGGCGAATGGCTCTTCTCTGGATGGAATCTAAGAGCATCAGCGTATGTTTTGGTGCTGAACTCCATATGTGGGAACAGTATTCTAGAAAAGGCCGTATCTGCGCTTTGTAGATCATGAGAAGCTGTTAAGGTGTAAAGTAGCTTTTCGCTCGGAACAAGAATCTGAGTTTTTGTGAAGCAGCTATTGCGATGGATCCGACATGATTATCCTATGAGAGAGTGTTGCTGATGGAAATACCGACATTACAATATCGGACATACTCAGTTCCGCCTTTCTAGAGAAAATACAGGCTTGACACATGCAGGCATGCCTTTAAAAATGATAATATCCTAACCCTACCATCTATTCTCATATTTAAAATAAAACCCTCCTTTATGTGAAAAACAACTCACAAAGGTTTTTAAAACATTCTGATTATCATAGATATTCTACCAGGAATGCTCATGACTTTGATATCACTAGACACAATCTATCTCGTACTGAAAAATCTCCGGACTATTTGGGAATAAAACTCTACAATCATTCACCTCAAGAAATCAGAGAAATGAATTTTTCCAAGTTCAAATCGTCCATAAAGCGCATATTGACTCGCGCTTATTATAACATAAATGAGTACTATGAATCTAGCTTGCTATAACGACATTGTGTATTGAATTGGTAGTGTGTACACCCCAAATTGTCAATTGGTGTTCTTTTACTCAAATTGTCTTTTCTTTCTACCTCATATGTAGATTTTATTCACCACCACCATATGTGTAAATGTTTTTCCTTTTATCCTAGGTGTGAATCTTAAATTGTAATTGTAATTTTCATTATCTTACGTGTTAATCATAATTTTAAATGTCTTGGCCTATGCTGCATACTTTTTTATAATACTTTTTATAACTGCTGATACGAATGAATATTATAATTATTATAATTATCAGATGGAGGTGTCAAGTCGATTTCCACTACTAACATTTTCTTGCCGTTTGATGGTATAATCATCCTGATGAGATCACCCTATTTATGCAAATCAATAATCTATTTTTCGTTTTGGACACTTGCATTTTCAGAAAACACTTCATTAGGCACTTCAGCGGATTATAGAGCGCATAAACTTTTCTAGAAACACCTTCTGACGCTAACAACACATAAAATATATCGCCTCCAACTTCTTCCTTCCACTTACTGGGTGGAGGGATAAAAAATCGTTAACTACACCCCATGGAGGCAATATCACCGAATAAAATTCTGCTGTTATACTCCATTAAACTTGCCAAACAACTTTGTGCTGAATATTCATTCATTCACCTCGATCGATGATAGTTTTAGATGTCAGCGTTTTGGGGCGTATAAACGACGTATACACAGAAAAAAAAATGGTTTGAAACTACAAAATCTTTGCAAATTCAACAAAATCTGAGTGTCATATATCCACAACAAAATATTTTGTCACCGCAACAAATGTTTTTTGTCAGTACTCAATTCAAAATTCATTCGATGTAACTCATTAATGATTCAAATTAACAGCAGGAATTGGTTGAATAAACAAAGACTATTTTGTTCCTATAATACAATATTTACTCTTATAACGATTCTGGAATTCATTGCCTGTGGAAGTATTCCCAACAACAGATAATCTCCAAAAGTTCAAAAAAAATTCCAATACCTACCTCCTGTCCCTATCCTCCCTAGGAACGCACGATGTTCTTTGAACATTATAGGGATTCCCTTTCGTGCGCTCCAAGCGATAAAAAAAAATCATTCAAGTGACAAAATTTTCAGTTTCTCAGAGTGAATATGTTAAAACAACAATATATATTCTTCGATCAACCAAATTGTATTTAGAATTGACAACATATTTTGCTGAAAAACATTAGAAAAACCATAACTGAATTTCAAAACTAAAAGAAATTAGAGATCAATTTCCTCAGTTGATTCAGGACTATTAGCTTGTAGTATAAGCGTCTTAAGGAACTCTAGGAAAGCCTAATATAATTATATAAACGGATGTTTCAGGTAGGTATATGTACACCCCAATCGAAGCGAGCGTTGAAAAATCGGTTTTTTATGAATATCTCAAATGTCCTCCCACCGATTTTCTTCAAATTTGGCAATGATATTTTTTGTCATGAGGTGCTGATATAGCCATAATTCAATTGGAAATATGAAATCTAGTGGCGTCCCGGGGGGTATCCTACCGAATATTATTGTCAATAAAAGTGCGCCACTGATTTTCTTGAAATCTGTATTTTCATAACCTATTGTGTAACTAAGAATACGACATTTTGGTTTCCTGAATTGTTTTGATGTTCTGCTTCATTTCCATAGAAAAAAATAAATACCAATTTATTGCATAAATTTGTGCCAAAAAATTCCTTCCTGTTCCATGTCCATAGACATAAAATGAGAATGATGATTAATTTTCTTCAAATATCTCATACAGAACCCCCCCTTGATTTTTTTGCAAATAATTCTCGGACACTCTGTATGTTCAAGGTCTCACCTGTGCTGCCAAACGACACTCAACCACTCTGCAATTGAAGTCTGCTGTAGCAGCTTTGTTCAATTTGGTCAGGCTGTGGGCTATGACAAAAACAGCTCCTGAAGGCAAAACGACATCGGTGGACCGAAGAGGAGCAAACTCGATCAGCTTTGCACAACCTGAGGAATCAAGAACATCATATATTCGAAAACCTCAATGAAATTAACCTAAATAATAGTATATTATGTAACAAGTGTAACAAACGTCCTTTTAGTAACGAGTAGTTTAAGCACGGGCGGAGCAGAGCGGAGCAGAGCGGAGCAGAGCGGAGCAGAGCGGAGCAGAGCGGAGCGAGTGTTTAATAAACGAGTGTCTAGAAGAGTTTATAATTGCGTTATATACTATGATTTTTCTACGAACTCCGAATATTACATCAACATACCTGCAATTCCTGCTAACCTACAAAATAATTCGAAAGGAATGGGAATTGAGAACATAATACATGCAACTGCATGCAACCAGCGAGACACGTATGAGTGATATTGGTTGTAAATATGTCCAGTCCATTGCTTACTAACCTTCGTTTCACGTTTATTGTCATGCTTAGCGCAGAATAAATAAATTGTTCCCAAAGATGGATGCTTCATTTTTACACTTCTTGGAGATATGCAAGTACCAGAACATTCTCTTCGATTTCACTTTCGTCTACTTTTCGCATATATTTTTAATGAAGAATTCTGATACAAATGAATATTGTTTGAATAATTCTGATACAGAATTCGAAAATAAGAGTTGACAGTTAATACAATTGACAGGCCAGACATGTCTCAAATTACTGAAGCTGTGTTTAATAAACTGCGTTGTCATGGTACTGTGTTTAAGAAATCGTGTTGCCATGGTAACGTGTTTAATATTTTGAATAAATCACAGATCGACAATCCGTGATTAATCGATCATTTAGCGTGGTACATATCCGTACGCTAAATGCCATTTTAGTTATGTGAGTAGAAAAAAGTTTATATTTCTTTTCACAAAATGCGCGCGAAATTTCCACATTCCTTCACATTGTATCATAAAAGTGACATTCTCATTCTATTTTTCACAGGAAAATACGATTGCAGCTGAAAAACATGGTACCCTATGATGTGTCATAGGGGATAGTTCGTACATTTGGATGTTTATTTTCGAATTGTTATACTGGAATGAAAATTTTATAGTGGTTTTATGGCCTTCATAAAACGAGTCCTTTCCAAATTACATTTACATAAATTTGATGTGCCATTGCTTTTCAGATAAGGATGAAACAGAAAGTCGAGCTCAAGTGGATGGGATTGATATAGATGGAACAAAAAAGGGGTAGAAAATGCAGACGACAACATAGAAACTGAACGAATCGTCCTAACAGAATTTATAATCCAGAATTCCGACTGGAATATAAAAATACCATTTGCAGAACTAACAGCCGATTCCTTTGGTAGAAACAACATGGAATGACATTTTTCCCCTTCATACTTGGTGTTTAACCCATGTGTATAATACATATCTGTGTTTACTGAGATCCGAAGGAGCCCAAATGAAAACCTCCAACCAGTTCATTTATAGTTCCACCTCCAGTATTTATCACATCTGACGTGGAAGATCTCGATGTAATCCAGATCGCCAGAGTAAACAAAAAATAAACAAGAGAAGTACACTGGCTCTTCAGATTGGCATGTCTGTTAGCCTTAATACAGGATAACGTGCTTCAACCCAAAACGATTCGTTGGCCATTTTACGGTCTGTCAGACAGTGAGCCCTGAAAAAGTATAATGGGGGTAGATCTCCTTGAAATAGAAAGATTTCTCAACACGTGATGAAAAATGAAAGAGAATATGTTCAGTTGACAATCAGGATGAAAAAGTTAATTGGATGGAAGAGAGTGTTTTCTTACGTGTTCAATATTACGGGTGTCGTGTTTAATCTTATGGAAAAAATCCGAATAATTTATGCCTCGCAGTTTTTGAAGGTGTTGAATAAACATATCAATAATGATTGATTATTATCCCAATTTCTATGTACAAGGTGTCCCAGAACAGCGTACCATGAATTCTACATGGCGAATTGTTGAACACCGTTTAGCCGTGAGAGAACAATTTTATTTCCAGATTTTCTTCTATAGTTCGAAACCCTTCAAAGTTATACTGCTCTGAAACTCATAGAGCAGTTTACCATAGTGAATATGTAGTGAATATGACGAAAAAAATTCGCAATGTTGAAAAAATCTCAATTTTTCACACCGTATATCTCTGTAATCATTTCAGCTAGACCCCAATTGTGATAGATCGATGAAATCAGCGCGCTAGGGAGAATCTAAAAATGCTATAAAATATAGGGTTTTCTATTGAACAAATTATAAATGTTGTTCCTAAGTATTTGTTGAGATGTTCAAGTGGTGGTTCAAAATATACGTGAAGACCCTGTACATCATGAGAGTCGCTGTAATTATGACATATTGCCTGTTCGAGTTCGAATATGAACTTTGTGGACCTAATTGATATGAATGTCAGGATATGAATACTGATGTATTGATGTTTGCTGAGGCTCTATCCAATGGATATCCATCAAACTAACGTTCTTTATCTGTCAAAAGGGCAAGAATTATGCGATAACTTGGAGCCTCGTGAAATACACGTAGAAGCTGAACTAATCCATAGGTTGCATGTTTTAATCTCTGGGGAACATAAAATTCATGCGAACCGGCAAGCTGTAGCCTCGACCGCATCCAAATTACCGTAGGAGAGTTATTGTACGTGATTAGTTACAATGAGGTGCAAAAACATGCAGAGAATGAAAACGGAAAACCACCTCTGAAATTTTCTACGTGGAATATGGTCAGGTATGAATTCAATGAATACTGAGAGAATAGAACAGGACTTTAATGATAAAATGCACAGCGTCCTTATTTGAGGACGCTCGATTTCCATTCCTTGTAGTACTTCAAGAGATTCTGATAAGACTTTTGGTGCGCCTGGAATATTGTGCATATAACAAGTTTTCATCACATTCTTTATTCGAAACTGTACTTCCACCCATTCGCAAGATATGACAAGTTGAAGGATGTTATTTCAGTCGAGAAAATGATCACTGTATAGGATCCCAAGTTTCGGTGCTTGTTAGCACTTTAGATGCAAAAAATCCACCAATACGGTCAAAGTGAAGTGCATGGGACATTAATAGAGATACAACTTGAATTGACCACAATCTATTACCATATAAAAAGGTATTTTATGATACCCCAGAGATTGAGTATAGGTATTTATCCAGTTGAAAATGAAAATCTCAACGATTTTTTGCTATTTCATCTGCCTTTCACTGTCCCCTAATAAGAGTTAATCACAACTCCATAGAGCAAGTGAGTCAGTTCAAGTATCTAGGCCTGACTGTAGATCAGAAATTAACATGGGAAGTACATATAGAAAACCTTGTCACGAAAGTGAGCAGTATGTGCTTTGTAATAAAACAATTACGAGAAACAGTCTCGCTACATGTACTTAAGCTGATTTACTATGGACTTGTACAATCCATTTTATCATATGGATTGCCTTTCTGGGGATTGCCTTTCTGGGGGAACTCGGCACATGCAATTAAAGTTTTTGAAATTCAAAAAAAAGTAATAAGATGTCTAGCTGGTCTACATTACAAAGAATCATGTAAGAGTACATTCATCCAACTGGCCATACTGAGTTTACCCAGCCTCTACATTTATACGATCACAATGCACATTAGAAAAAATGAAACACACCATACCAAAAATAATATGATCCACATCTACAATACTAGAAGAGGTAATGAACTAAGACTATACCTTATTCTCGTTTGGCTCTGGGACAGGACTCTGCGAGTTATCAAGGTATCATTTGCTATAACCATGCACTCAAACTATTTGGAAACGCATGTAGCTTAGGAAGTTTTGAATCAGCTCTATACAATCATCTAGTCCAAAATGCATTCTACTCTGTTGAGGAATTTTTACAATCTAAATGAGTATCCAATATTATAAAACTTTAATCCTTTAACTTCTATTTTAAAATGTTTGTGTCTGTTCAAATGTTTTTATTCCTGTTCTTGACTAGTCTGATAAAATTTTATAAATGTATGTAATACAGATGTAGAATTTTCAATGATGAATAAAATTCTATTCCATTCTATTCCATTCTATTCCATTCTATTCCATTCTATTCCATTCTATTCCATTCTATTCCATTCTATTCCATTCTATTCCATTCTATTCCATTCTATTCCATTCTATTCCATTCTATTCCATTCTATTCTATTCTATTCTATTCTATTCTATTCTATTCTATTCTATTCTATTCTATTCTATTCTATTCTATTCTATTCTATTCTATTCTATTCTATTCTATTCTATTCTATTCTATTCTATTCTATTCTATTCTATTCTATTCTATTCTATTCTATTCTATTCTATTCTATTCTATTCTATTCTATTCTATTCTATTCTATTCTATTCTATTCTATTCTATTCTATTCTATTCTATTCTATTCTATTGTATTCTATTGTATTCTATTCTATTCTATTCTATTCTATTCTATTCTATTCTATTCTATTCTATTCTATTCTATTCTATTCTATTCTATTCTATTCTATTCTATTCTATTCTATTCTATTCTATTCTATTCTATTCTATTCTATTCTATTCTATTCTATTCTATTCTATTCTATTCTATTCTATTCTATTCTATTCTATTCTATTCTATTCTTTGTCACATCATATCCATATACAGGGTACAAAGAACTACAATAATATCTCCAGATTGGAATCGTTATATTTTGAGAATTATATATTTTTTCATGTTCTGGTTCCCACGAAAAGGGATATCCTGTAATATTCAGAGAACTTCATGAGAACCAAGGGAGATAAGGTAGGAATGGGTGTTCTTCTTGAATTTCTGGAGGTTATTGTCTCGGGGAACACCTCCCTTGGCAATATGTTCCAGAGCCTCGCTGTTCGTTGGATGAAAGTCTTCGGAAAGAGATGTTCTGCAGGTCTCCAAAGTGACCACGAAGGAGTGCGAAGCCTCAACTCGACGGGACAATAATCTCGCGGGGACTGCCAACGGAGGAACGATTGTTGATATTTCAGAAGGGCATCGTCCATGAAAATATCTATAAAATAGA